TCTTTTAGGGCAGGAAGGAGTGAGACACAGGGTCCTTCCTTCAGCAAAATTATATACCTTTTTCCCAATAGGTTTGTACTGGATTCATGGGGCGAACTGGAAAAAAGTAATTCAAAGGAAAGCAGTGCTGCAGGTTTTGAAAAAACTCTGAAAGTCACTCAGCAGAAATGGAAGGTATATCTACATCCTGGGATAAATGATAAAATGAGTTAGGTTCCTGGAAACTCATTCTTTAATGCAATAAATCACCTTGTTATTCTGAGTACATTATTTGTGCTTATGTCATATTTTAAATATGACAAGCTACTTCTCAGAGAGAGTAGACAAGAAAAAGAGAATGCTGTGGATTTAAATATCCTGTTATGTACTAATAAGCAAAGAAACCCATTTTCCTCGGAGAGCTGAGCAATGAAGAGACGGGCAGCATTAGAAATAGGAAGTTTTCTGGGAAGCTTTCTTAGAAAGGATTATTATAAGATTATTATAAAAGAGTACTATTATATATCATCTCATAAAACAAATGGTCTGACTAAATTACACAGGACACGTTTAAAGTAATTTAGAATAATTATTACTTACATTGCACCGAATAAAGCTGCTAGTGATGAGAGCTTTTCTTGCAATACTCAGCACCATTTCTGGCAGTAAACTAGAGAAGAAAACTTGGGATCTACTGCAGGAAATGGGAGCCCCTTTTTCTATTTTTTTTTTAATTTTTATATTGAACCTTGGTACAACGGTAATAAAACCAGGAGCTTTTTGTTAGCTACACTAGTGATCTTACTAACTGAGAGTAACCTGTGCTCTGGCACTGTATGACTTTCATTTATCACGTGGGATTTTATGAAGTTGATTAACTTACCAGTCTTAAGTCTTTCAGTTTGTCACCTTTTTTGTCTCTTTCCTGCAAGGGAAGCCTTTATTTTCTTTTTATCCTTTCTGTGAATATAGGAGAGGCTGTCTTCCAGCCTGGCAGTGTCTGTGATGCTTGCTGTGTGCTGGACTTTTCTCTAGCTCCGGGAGGACTGCCTCCAGCAGCCAGACATTTCCTGGAGCTCCTGTACTCACGAGTGCCTGACTCATTGAGCTGCTAAAATCTGTGGAGATACGGCTGGCTCTTGCTGGTTGGAGACATTGCCTCATTGCTGTGGTTCTGAAATACTGAACGGTGATATCAGCCCAAGTGTCTCCTGTCATGCTTCGCTGATCAGGGGACCACGTTGCTGTCTCCGTGCCGAGCCAAGCTGCGGCATTGGGACCAATAGGCGTTGCCCTGGGCTGCCATCCTGTGGGGTGCTGGGGCAGGGCGTTGCTTTACCTTCCTGCCCCAGGTAAGCAATCTTATCTTTACCAGAGAAACGCAGCGAGAGCTGCTGCATATTGTAAAGTAAAATCTTTTTTTTTTTTCTTTTTTTTTTTTTTTTCTTTTTTTTTTTTTTTTTCCCTACCTGTCTTGATTTCTTGGCAGAAGGATTGAATATCTCTGTGCTTTCCAAAAGCATAGGAGCAGGAGCACTATAGGATCCGTGGCACCAGGGCTCTGCTGCTTGGAGGAAGCGGCAGTGATTTGGAATGGTAATGAGGGCTTTAGATCTGAGCATTAGGCAGCAGGGGCTGCCGCAGCGCCTGTACGCCTGTAATCACGTTATTCATTTATTTTGCACTACCTGAGTGCAAAAGAGCGGTCAAGCCTTTAATTGCAGCACTTGGGCATCTGCTGCTTTCTCCCTCAGGCTGCCTGTACAGACGCAGTCAAGAGAAGATGCTCTGTGTTTCTGAGGCACGTGGAGAGATAAAGCTGGCTGGGAGGGGTTTGGTATCAGAAGGGGAGTGAGGAGTTATCCTCCGAGTGTCAGTGCTTCCTGTCCTGATCAGACACACTTTTCTGAGTTGTGAAGCATCCAAAACATGTACAGTTGAGGAAATGTAAAGCAGCTGGAGGTGGGGATGTGACCTGTTGTGTGAAAACCATTCTGTTAGGCAGCTGGCATTGGAAACGTGGCTTGTTACATGACTACCCTGCTGCAGTGGAGACCCGCTGCTGCTGGAGGCTTAAACAGCGAGATGGAAACCCACGTGAGACTGGCAGCTGGATCAGTTCCTTAGTATGCTTTTGTATGTGATCCAGAGGAGGCAAGAAGGCAAAACACATCACAGAGTAGAGCTGCCACAGGCAGTCCCTCTGGGCTGCGGGACTAATGATCGCCAGAGAGAGCTTACTGCTATCATCAGAAAGGAATGAGACAAGCTATGAAACGAGTGCAGCTTCCAGCCTCCACCTCTCGCAGCTACATACATACCTGTTAGCATGACTGCTCCCTGGCAGCACTGTGCTTTGTACCATATGAGTCACTTGAGCACTGGTGTGGATTTGAGGTCTCTGGTGCTTCACCTAAGTCATAATGAGCACTTGTAGTTTTTTGGGAGTTTGGTCAGAAATGTCTGTGTGTCAGGAAAATGTCTGCATTCGACTTTCTGCAGCAAATAGTAAAAAATCTCTCAATGTCAATGATGTTACTGATATATATATTATTTTAATTTAAAAGATAAGAAAACCAAACAGGTTCTGATCAGAGATGTTTTGGAGTGCACAGAGCTGGCTGTCAGTGTGCTGTGCACGGCTCCAGATAGGGGCAGCCAGGCTTGCTGTTGGCTGTGGGCGAACAGCTGACTGTACAGTACGTTTGGAAACCACTGTTGCATAGACAGGAGCTGGCACAGGAGCAAACAACTTCACTGCCCAGAAAGCTCACAGAAAACATAGTTGGTGGGCTTGGAGGGACAGGAACATACACCTGGTAGTGGGGATGCTACCTGGGAGGAAGCAGGGCAGCCAGGTTGTGGGGCTTCAGCTTGCTTCAGTAACATCAGAAAAGCAAATACTTAAGGCAGGTGAGATTGAACTTGTGTTACTTCTCATATATCAAATTATTAATTATAGGCCACCCTCAGGGTGCAGCTGTCCAGCTGTCTGGGGTACAGTGCTGTTTCCTTGTTGTCCCCTGCTGGGCTGCTTTTGAGGCCTGGGAAGTTTTTAGCTAGTTCCTCTCTCTGAATAAATGCAAAGCTGTTTCCTTATTGCTACAGACAAGTTAGCAATGAGCAAGTGTGGGGATGGTAAAGAAAAGCCAACCTGGATTCTTTCCCTGGAGACACCACAAACTCATGCTTTCAAATCCAAGTGTCATTTGTCTGGAGTTGGCTTTGATGTAATTATTCTGTTAACCTTGGAGAAACTGGTAACTTTGCTGTGCTTCAGAGAGCTCCTTGTCTAAAGTAGGTGTAGTATCTGTAAGCATAACGCTCACCTCAGAGGATGTTCAATAAAATCATAAAAACTAATGCTCATAAAGTGTTCTAAGAGTCATTAATACAAATTGCCATAGGAATGCAAATTAGTTTCTGCTGGTATCATCTACAGGCTAACAAGCAGGGTTTTAATAGAGGTGAGGTTTTGATCAAAAAGTAACGTAGTTCTTGAACCATCCAGAGTCTTAGGATGACACTTTGTTACACAGAGGATTGCAGTACCCTACTGAGCATTCTGTTAAACAGGGTTGCAAGTCCTTTTTTGTTGCTGAGGTGTACTGGTGAATATGAACATGTAACATTGGAGTGAGAAGTAAAAATCCTCGCTCCCTGTATCTGGAAGACAGGAGCATGGTGTACTGCAGCAACCCATGCACTTTTTCTTTCTTGTTGGGAGTGTCTTCCTAGTACATGAATGGCAATGAAATCTGTCCTGGCAGTGCCCTCTCTGCTGAAACTGTGAGCAAGAACATCAGTACTCTGAGTGATGGGATTGTGATAAGAGGGCTTTGTGCTGTCAGCCAGACTAACACAACCAGATCAATTTGGGGGGGCAGCCAAGCTGTGATGTAGTTAATAAGTTTTTATTATTGCCATTTTGAGGTATATTCAAAAGGATAACATAAATGTGAAAGATGCTGTTTTCTACTGTCAGTCTCCAAGATCAGCTAGTCTCTGAACCTATTAAACTATGTGAAGTCCGTAGTACTAGTAGCTGGTAATGAGCAGTATAGGGGTATTTCAAGAGAAAGGAAGATAAATTGTCTGCATCCACACTGGCTATCTTTGCAGTGTTTTTGCTATACTGAAACAGTTACATACCAAGGTGTGAAGTACTACCAAAGTAAACTTAAAGCTGAAATCCTTCTGCACTGGGTGGTTTTGGATCCTTAAGCTCAGAGTGTTCTGCAGATAGATTTGCTGGAAGCATGTCACAAGTCTTTTATCAGCTCTGATGGTTGAATGTATTGGGCAGGTCATTGAAGACAGGAAAGAAGAACTTGCTCACAGTCGTTTCCCTGGTTCACATGAAGAATGCTAAATCTGAATTGTCCCCAGGATCAGTGTGGCATGATGTCAGCACCTCTCTGGGGATGCAATTTCTCAATGACAGTGAGGATCAGTGTTTCCCAGTTTCAGGTTGTGATCCCTGCCAAAGGTGTCCTTGGAATGGTTTGCAGGAGGCTGTGAAGTGTTTTATACCAGCAAGAGAGCAGTCAGCTGCCTTTAATTGCTGACTGCTCTGAGTCCCAGGGCAGAGATTTGTGTATTTGTATCTGCATCCCATAACTATAACCTATCCTTGCTCCCTTGGTCAAAACAGGCTGAGGTGCTGATAGCGACAAAGGGAGTTAACTCATCCTTGGCTGATATATAGTGTGGGAGAGGTAGGGAGAAAGAGAGAACAAAAGGGGGCCACCACACAAATACAGATCGGGCCAAAAGAGAGTTATGCTTTCAGAAAGTTTAAGGATTTAAATGAGGGGAATTAGGACATACTGAAAATGTGTGTCTGTGTGCACTCCCTCTGCCTTGCAGTAGACGTGCAATGATCCTTTCCAGGAGGCTCAGAGGTGTTTTGTTTGTGACCCCCTCCAAACTGATGAAGAGATGAGCGCTCGGGGAGGAGCTGCTGCAGTGCCTCGGTCTGTGAAATGTTGCTGACAGCAGTGTTGTTGTCTGATCCACAGGTCCAGAAGATGGCATAGGAACATCACTGCCTTCCAGGGAGCCGGGGTCCTTTCTCGCCTCCTCACATGCTGCTTGGACTGCTCTGAAGCTTTTGTTTCTGGACCGAAAAAACCCGTGAGCTGCTTGCCCTGCAAACCTTTCTCTCCTAATTCATGAGCCAGCAGGATGTGGTCGCTGTGCTTTCAGAACGGCTTCTCATAGCTGCGTACAAAGGCCAAGTGGATAATGTGGTGCAGCTTATCAACAAGGGTGCCAAGGTAGCAGTTACCAAGGTAACAAGAGAAAAACGCTTTACAAAATCCCTGGGAACTAACATAACTCCTAAACCATTGTCTGTGAAAATGCCCTTGCAGCTTGGCAATTCTGAATGTAATTGAAGCTAGCGGTGTTGAGATTTCCTTAAAGTTTATACGTATTAGCTCATGTAAATTTAAAAAATAGTGCATGTCTTGTAGTTGGACACTTTTCATTAGATGTATGTACAGCTATAGTCCTTACAATGTACTGTGCTGGTGGAGGTGCGGTGGCATTTTTCAAAATGAGTGTTGACTTTTGTACGACGTGCAAAATGATGAATGGAACAATTCATCACTGTTGGGGGATGAGAGGAAGGGGGAAAGCCACCTGTTGTGGTAAGATAAAGGCATGCAGAAAGCATTCCTTTGCTGTCAGAGTCTATTGGTACGGCAGTCTCACTTGTATCTGGTATCTTCACCCTTGTCATGCTGTGTAGTCACCATCCAGCTGCAAACTTGGGGTTTGCAAACCGTGGTCCCTAGACCTTAGAGATAAAGTCAGCATCAAAGGATTTCTGCTTAGATTTTAAGAGAATCCGAACGGATATTCGGCTACATCTCTCAATGTTAGAAATAATAGCAAATAAAAGATGAGCTAGAATGCATCTGTTGCAGAGAAGGCAAAAAGCCCTAATGCAAATTAGGTAAGCAAGATCTTCAGAGCTCTAACATAAAATCTGGGACATCCTGTTTTGACAGATTGTTGTTTTCTGTCGTGTCTAGCCTGATTTCTGTTTCCATATTGGTTTTGAACGCAATATATACATGGGAACTAATATCCACAGAGAGAAAGCAAATGTGAGTGCATGAGATAAGATTTTTTTTTTCCTGTTTTTATCTGTCAGTAACAGTTGTTTGCAATTGCTTTGTGGTGACTGAGTTGTAGGTAGCATTTATTTTGAAAGCTGGAGTGAACTGAGGGTAATTATCTTTAGTGAATTTTGCATGCTAAAGCTGAGTGGTGTTTTGCAAAGATGTAGTAAACGAGAATGGTCCCATAAGGATGCCTGTTTGCTTCTATTGTCCACACAGCTGTAGTTGAACAACAGTTATAGGAGGTGGTCAGTAATAGAAAAAAAAAATAATATATTTGAATGGTAATGGTTTTGTTTGATTGTTTTGCGATGGTTTGGGTTTTTTGTTTTGTTTTTTTTTTTAGTTTATTGAGTTTAGAGGTTACTGAGAGACCTACTTGAAAATGAAGCATTGAAAGGATGCCATTCTTCATACAAATTTGTGTATCGATGTCGTTGGAATTCTGCACTCTTTGAAACATGAGATGAGGTGTCTTTTGTGACACTTGCCAGAATAGTCATGCCACTGATTTTGCTGCTTCATGAAATTAGTTGCCATAATCCATAATTCTAATGCAAAATTGATACTTTCTCTTAGTAGAGGTTGTCTTCTTTGCATTCATCAATGCTTTCTGTTTATTACATTAACAGTAAAGGCATATTGTGTAAATCTGTTCAAAAACAAAATCAAGTTAATTTGACGAATACAGATTTACCAAATGTAAAAGAAATTTCTTTCCTATACGATATACAGGTGGCTTCCTGCTTCCATTACTTGCTTTGTTGTTCAACCTTTGAATGGAAAATCAGATCAAAACTTAATTGTTGGCAAAACTGTGCAGGTACACAGTTTTGGTGGCTTCACTGGAAAGTCATGGAGAGACCCAGGCCCTCAGGTGAACTCTGAGACCATCCCTGGGGCTGACCTGACACTCCAGGGTTGTAGCTGTTGTGACCTGGAGGTTGTGGGTCATCTCCATTGAGCTCAGGACGGGTTTTGACAAAAGCTGTCACTCTTGCCATTCTGGATGCAGCCTGGCATGTCAGCAGGATATATCCGCAGCAACCTCTGTGCAGGGAAGATGAAGTCAGACCTGAAAGACTGTGGAGGACTGCAGAGGCTCTTGGAGTGACCAAGGCTATGTGTTGGCAGTGTTTTGGTGGCACTAGAGCACGTGTTCCTCTCCTGTTGTGTGCCAGGTAGAGGCGAGCTCAGTGCAAATCAAAAAGCATGAGACCAAACTGCTGTCCTCATCAAAACCCATCAGTTCAGGCTCCTGGTCAACACAACATGGAGTTCACTCTCACCCAGCCAGCTGCACAGGGATAGCACAAGCATATTTGCCTATGAAAGGCTATATAAACATACCCTGAAGGAGCTTGGACACAGAGTGACACAGAGGCTGGAAGGAGAAAGAGGCATTTAAAGTCAAGGACATTGTTGTCACAGGATATTCAATCCTCAACCCTTCAAGCCTCATCTATGTGTAAACTGAAAAATTTACAGGGATTTTTTCAGCCATCAGAGAAGGTGGGTTCTTCTGTGGTCTTTCAATAAGCAGAAAAGGCCCAAAATAATAAAGACTTTTAAAATGGGGTTGTTAATTTTAGGTTGGGAATCAAATGACAGAGTAGGGAATTATTGATTAATCTCTCAGATGAACTGAAGTGCAGAGCCTTCTCCCCTAGCCGCAATAAAACTCATTGCAAAATGCAGACTAAAAAAAAATGTAAATTTATTCACACGCTGTAGTTCTCTTCTAGTTGTATACCTTCTATTTTTATTCATAATCTTCAGTTTGTTCTGTCAAATTAATTTTAGATTCTAGAGATTTGTTCCAAAGAAAAAAATGACTTTTGTACTTCTCAGCCAAAATTCCTCCTGAATTGTATCAGAGTTTTATTGAAGAAAGATATGCCGAGGCAAAGCTCTTTTGGACACAGAGGAACAGTTCCCTCATCGTGTTAGGCTTGAAATGAGTTTCTGGTATGCATCTGTAAGCACAGACTGATTCCAGTGGAAAAACACCATGTAGAGCCACAGCTTGAAGAGACTGGACCTTTATTCTAAGGAGTTCTTTATTGAAACCAGATTAATTGACCATGGCTTAAGGAGAATGAAGCATATTTTCCATAACAAAACAAGGACTAGTAAGTGCTGGATAGGTGGCAAGCTCGTCCAGTTCTATTTTTACTTTAGTATGGAAGGTCATATGATACAGTTAATTGCTGCTTCAGTGAACAGTAATTCAGCTGCAAAATAGCGTTTCAGTTTTATCACCTCTAGCTGGATAATTCCAGAAGAAGAATATGAAGGAATCAGAATTCAGTGTAGAATTGATTTGCCCAAGTGTTCACTTCAGCATTTTCTCCTGAATGCATTTGTTTCTTTGTGACAGTATTAATAGCAACTCTCCTGTCCAGCTAAGCCTTCCATTCCTGTGCAGCCGGTGTGAAAGAGTGTGCTTCCACATCCTTCCTGCCACCAGCAACAGCTAAGGGCACCTGGGCTCTTTCCAGATTTGATACATTTTAAAACATGGATGAAAAAAGGAAAAAGAGCTGATGATGACGGCGCTGCTGGCTTCTGATGATGGGGAAGGGGTGACGGTGGTACTGCACTGCAGGTGCACATGCATGTTGTCTTGGAGCTGGGTCCTCTGCCACGAAGCCATGCAAGGTGGTGGTGAGGGAAAGTCTTATTCACAGTGCCTGATGCTTCACAGCTCTTCTTTGGGCCTCTTGTCAGCCACAGTGCTGTCACTGCTCTGCCTAGTTGGACTAAGAGATCATTTCCATTTTTGTGCCTTTCACACGTTTTTCACAGGCTTGAAATTTACGGCTGTTTGAAAAAGAAAAAAAGAACAACTACTAACAGAATCAAACCAAAACAAACAAACAAAAAAGAAACAACTGGTAATACAGACCAGCTGATTCCAACAAACAAGTTTGTTTATAAGGTATTTTGGTGAATATACTGCCAAATCTGAAAGATTAAGAATTGAGCCTGGTATCATTAAGTCTTTTCTTCCAATTTGCAAAACTTGTCCCATCTTTCAGTTCCTTTGTAATAGAGGCTTTATTTCAGTAAAGCTACTGACAGCTGCTTCTTGAAAGTTTAAGCACTGCAGCTTTTGCTGAACTGCCCTGTCTTGCTGTTTTCCTTTCCCCAAGTTACTTTTAATTCTGACATTGTGAGGTGAGATGGATTCAGGAGAGGGTTGAGAACCGCCAGAACTGGCAGAGGAGAAATGGAAATAGAGATGTGTCAGGTAAGACCTGTTCTCTTATCTTATCTTTGGGATGGTGCCGAAAGGAGGGGATAACGTGATTGATTTCACCTCCTGTGCTTGAACTTTTGGTGTATCCTGAGGCCTGCCTGAAACCCGTCTCCCTCAGCACGCTGGGAACTTCAGCCCTTGCTGTGGGCTTGCATCGTGCCTGGAGATGAAATTCAGCTCTGAAGCTCTGTCATGGCTTACCCAAACAATGTGATACTTGGTGTTGGGATTCACTGGGGTGCTGCAGTGTGTTACCAGCATTCAGCACTCAGGATTAATATGGCCCAAAGAGCTGTGTGTTAGCTAGCACACAGAGAGGAATGTGCCACTCTCTGTTAAACATGAAGAAGATTGCCAGAGGAAGCAATATTGTAGCACAGGCAGTTTCAATGTAGTTAGCATATTATCATTAGGATTATGAATTTTTTTTTTTCAAAGGAAAGCAGTATATAGCTTTTCTGTAGAGCACAGTGTTAAGAATATGGCTATAAAATCAAATTCTGGAGAGATGAGCATTTTAAAAAAAATGTGGAAACTAGTGCTTCTGTTTTAATTCAGCAATTCTGTTTGTTTATCTGTTTGCTTGTTTGATTTGATTTTTGAACTGGTTGTGTTACAGACCTCCCATATGGCAGTGTTTGATAGTGCTAGGGTACTTGTAGACTTGTTGTCAAGATTTCAACTTGAGAGCGTGCAGAGTTCTTGAAAACAATTTTTTTTCCCTATGTTGAAATGGAAACAAAGAAATCTGTTCGGTGCTTTCACATATTTGTGCTACTTCAGCTTGAAAAACTGCTTATTGACTTAAGCATCTGTTCTAAACAATAAATAAAAATAAATGAAAGGGAAATAGCAGACATTTAGAGACTTACTTAATAATGCCTGTTGAGGCCAGCGAGAA